AATAAATAATAGTCATTGTTCGTTACAGTTTCTGAATGTTTCTGGGTGTTGCCATCTGTACGTGGTGGCGCTGGATTCTTTACGCTACTTACGTTGCTATGGTTACGGTGGTGATGCCGGTATTTGAAATGTTCATATTGATATGTTTTTAACTCTGCCTTTTTAATAAAAAATATGGCGAAACGAAAACAGCAAAGCCTCGCAGCTTTTGGATTCACAAGCAAAGAAGCGAAGGAGTCTATGACAACGTGAACGGAACAACTTTTAGTTGGCCGGCTGTAAGCGGCGTTAGGGTCGAGTTTGACAGCTCCACACCGAGGGAGAGGCCTGCCGATACAGAGCCTGAAGAGGCTTCAACAATGGCCACAACCGCCGGCGCCACCCGCACTAGCGATACCCATGACCTGCCTTTTAACTGGACACAGAAAAGATGGAGTGAGTGGAATGGCTTTCAGAAAAAATAAAACATTTTGGATGTGAGATTTGAAAAGAGGCAAAAAGTATATTGATCTCCCTGCGGCTTGCAAAAAAAGGGGACCTTTCACAAGCATGGATTCAGGGAAAAGTCAGCAGTGATCAACAGAATAACCAGCGTAAAAATAAACTGTGGCACGCTTACACAGCACCCTCATCTGCGAGGCTCCACTAGCACCCGCAACCCCTCTGCACCCCCAAACGCGGCACACGTACAGTGTAAGCGTGCCACAGTTTATTTTTACGCTGGTTATTCTGTTGATCACTGCTGACTTTTCCCTGAATCCATGCTTGTGAAAGGTCCCCTTTTTTTGCAAGNAGAATAACTACATCGTAGTTTTGGCATTACATTATTATTACATTACATGTTACACGTTGGACGCTTTTATCCAAAGCGACTTACATACTCAATACTGTGGGCAATGTCAAGTCCCAGGTTCCTCCACAATGCAGCATACATATATGCAAACAGAATGTCAAATTAAATACTGAACGGTAGATTAAATAATCTATGATATGTATAATACTGTACAGTGTCAAGTAGTACAATTAGAAGATTTATAACATGAGGATATGAACCGGCTTGGAGAGTAACAGAATGCACAACGGGATTATGTAATAGGGATAAATAAATAAAAAAGTGTATCCCCTTACAGTTAAGAATAATAATACAACAAAATATGTTATCAGATTACTGGTACAGTTAGAAAATAAATAAATGGGGATTGCAATGTGACACTTCATTTTAAAATAAAGAATGATATATTACGAAGCTCATGCGCACACAGTAAAACACACATTTGATATTGAGGTTATCCAAATGTAACAGAAAGGTTACAGCTTATTGTCGTGAGAGTTACTGATTAAAACAGGTAACTAGTAACTGTAACGGAATACACTTTTAAGCCCAACTCTGGATCTTTTTAGGCCACCTAAAGGACACTATTTAAAGCATAAAGGTATCAGGACTAGGGGTGGGCGATATTGAAAAATATATTATCACGATATTTTTCAAGCAGTATCACGATAGACGATAGCAGTATCACGATATTTTTTCATGTCGGTTATTATGGTTATTTTTCAAGTTACTTAACAGTACAACCACCTACAAGGTAACAGAAACTAAAACAAAAAGGAGTAACAGACCAAAATAGCATTTCAAGCTGGTTTTATTTCTGAAATGAATCCCTGAATGAACAATTCAACATTTTGATATGGCTTCAAGACACAGTTTCTCAGTATAAAAATGAACTTTCTGAGGTAGCACTAGCAGTGAACATCAATAAACATTAAAAGGAGGGTAAAACATAACTAAGTAAAACATAAAACATCAAGGAGGAAAAGTCAGTGCCAAACAATTAAAATGTAAACTTTAGACTTGAAGTGCAATACAAGACTTTAGCATAACTGAAGGGAAAAACTATATAAATACCTTATTGATAAAATAAAATATAAGCCAACAGAATCAAAAAAGACAATAAATAAAGTGCAATACTGTCTGAATCCTGACTAGACAGCTTTAGAGCATGTCTTTCACATCAGTTTTTCAAGTTTTTTTTTCAAGTTTTTTTTTTTTTCTTTTATCACGATAGATACGATATCTCTGAAAAAGCATATCGTGGAGACCTAATATCGTCACGACGATATATATCGTCATATCGCCCACCCCTAATCAGGACATTCTACACAAGGTAACAAGCCCAACCCCTTCAGCTTGAGAATGAAACTGATTTTATTACAGACGGCTCTAAAGCTCCTCGCCTGTGATAAGGTTTGCCCTGCTGTGTTTGTCCTCTCAGGGGTCAAGAGTCTTGTTGTAATTCTCCACAAAGCAGAGTGAGCGGTCCAGCTGAGACATGAGGAATAACTGACTGCATTGGAGTGAAAGAAAGACTAATGAAGAATGACCAGCAACCAGGAAGTAAGTGTTGTAATAAGGGAGCAAGTCAAACTGAGATGTTATTGTAAGTTGTGCTCAAGGACAGCAGCATTAACTTTTAACAGCTCAGTGACTGTAGTTAATCTTTACTCAGGGTGTAGACTGTTTGTAAAAGAATGAATTGAGAACATGCTGAACACATAATGTGACAATGTGTACACACAAACAAAAGCTTCTGTTAAACCTGTTCAATCTTGTCAGTCATCAGCGGACAAACAGGAAACAGAGTTTGGGAGTCCTGCCCTTTCCAAACAGAGGAGGATCATCTACTTCTCCAGCGGTGAGACCATGGAGGAGGAAGACAGCGAGGAGGAAGAGGAGCGGTCATCAGACAGGCCTTCCATCAGAGAGCCTGCAGAGAAGGTGGGACACTGTTTACAGCAGTAATGACACGTTTACCGACGGCTCAGTTCTAGGCTGTGCAACCGCTCAAAGCGCTTTATGACAACACAGGTCAGCATTCAAACATCCACACACACTCACACACCATTGGCCAGAAGCAACTTGGGGTCCAGTATATGGCAAAAGGACACATGTTGACTAAATCAACCTCATGGCCCATAGCCGTCCCTTCTGGATGTAATTTGAGGTGAACTTTATTTTTGTGTTCACATTTTACTCATGTTATCAATGTCTTTACACATCTGGGACTAGGAAATGTGAAATACTTGCATGAAGGTATCATACGTCTAGGGCTTTTATAGTGAAAGGTCAGAAGCAGATATGAACTTTATTTGATGTGTAAATATTCAGAATTATTTTCCTTATCCTTACATTCCCCAAAACTCTAGAGTGAAAAGGGAACTAAGAAATATTAAATCAACCCGGGGGAATAAAAGAAAGGGATGAAACTGAATCGTACAACCAACATATGTTGTTTAGTCAAAAAATAAAATAAATGCTTATCAGCTGATTTAAAAGGCAAAATGAGGCCAACAGAAAGCAGCACATGGAACAATCACATGTAGCAAACAAAACACACATTAGCAACTTGCTAATGGGGCATATCCCATAACGCTCAAACACTATTCAGAAACATAGAGATATACCAACACACTGCACACACACACACACACATGCACACACACACACACACACACACACACACACACACACACACACACACACACACACACACCATGGCACGTAATACCAAGCAATATTTGTGTTCTGTAGTACTTGACGTTACAAGAAAAAGAAGACAAAAAACATTACTAAACATGAACCTCCTAAACCCAGGAAATTAGAGTGCTAAAGCTTTAATTTGCCATCTTATCAATTATAACGTTTGGCACTGCTCTGTATGTAATGAATTGTAAAAAGTGATACAGATAACACTGAGAACCGCAAAGGAAACCTTTTTAGTACATGGGGACATTTAGTCTCTCAGAACTGTTAACAATACAATAGAACATGCTGAATTAGGTATAAGAAGAAACTGGCTCCTCGAAACTAGCAGACTTTATACTTGATGACATCACAAGTCTGAGACGTACTTCTCTGGATTTGGCTTTGAAAGAGAGTAGCTCAAATGTTCTTGGGCCATTGAAATAACATATTGTAATTGTTATAAAGGTGATGTTTCCCTTCAGGTATGAGTCATGTTACTCATTCTCTTCTGTCTCCTCTCTCAGTCTAGGCTGTCGTTCAGGAATGTGGCTCTTCTGGTTGGGAGGATTTCCCTGCTGAGTACGTGTTTAATCATTAAACACATTCAAAGCATACAATATAAACAATAGGTCAAATTTTTGCTTTGGAAAATGTCTCACTAAGTTGTTGTTGTTGCCAAAATTAGCATGTGATTTCCTTGGAGAGAGACTGGCCGGGGCCCTCGGACTGAAAGCAGCCAAATACCAGTACGCCATCGACCAACATCACCGAGACCACAAGGTAGAGTCAGATTAAAGAACAACATACTTTCCCAACAAATTTACTTTGCCACTTTTGGAAAAAACACTGAAGGCCGAAACATACCTTTTTAATGCACTGCTCGATTTTTGGATCCATAACATGTGGAACAAGTGGAAAGAAAATCCAAAATACACATTTAGGTGTTCCTTTTAACAACCTATTTGTGTCCCTACATTTCAATGAACTCACCACAAAGCTATAGATAAATAGCATATTATAACATCACATTTCAGAAGAACCTGTACTACAAAAAATAATTAAGATAAAACAGACGTGACGTCTATGAGTTCAACTTTTTTCCCCTCTTTACGGCGATTTTATACAAATGAGTTTTTCCTCAGACTCATTTACAAACACTACACTAATATTTTATATTCCTTTCTATTTAGCCTTCACCAAATATTGTCGTTTTGATATTGCAAAAGTCACTATTGTGAGTTTGATAAAAGTCTGATTAATTGTGCAGCACTATTATAAACCTGTTGTATAGTAACACTGTAGTTTTTCAGGGCAGGACATGTGTGTTAATATTACACTGACAGGCCTATCGATGGTAATTTCTCTGTTTCTCACCCACTGCTCTTCCTGTATCTCACTCACAGACAAAAAGCAACGGGGCGTCAGAGGACCTGATGGAGGGAGGGGGGGAGAAGATCTGCCTCTCCACCGGACCGGAGGGGAGTCATTACGGAGCTGCGGGAGAGGAGCGATGCCCGGCTGGTTCTCAGGAGAGATGTGATCAGAAACAAGAGGACACGAGGGAAGGGTGTTACAACAGAGCATATCAAGCAGAGGAGCTTCAACTGAAATAAAACTAAGAAGGGAAAAGCAGAGGGATGAGGGCGGTGGGGGGGTGAAGAGAACGTTTTTAAATGTACTTTGTTACGTTCCACCACTGGCTATTTACAACAAGTGGATAGAAAACATCTAAAATACACATTGTGTTGCTGATTTTATTAAGATTGCCATTTTTGTAAGTATTGTCATTTTGTGTTTAAGTGTTATACTCAGGGGGTTTGTCTTGTAAATACCCAAAATAATTTGACAAACTTATTTTTAAGGCACAACAGCTGGTATACCAAAGTGAAACCCAATGCTACGGTGGAAGAAGTTTCCCTTTTTCCTGAAGTAAAATTACCAATACTAAATTGTAAACATACTCCATTAAAGTAAAATTCCTGCATTCAAAATCTTGCTTGAGTAAAATGTCATAAGTATTAGCATCAACGTATACTTAAAGTACCACAAGTAAAAGTACTTATTGTGCTTAATAGCCCCTTTCAGAATCATGTAATAAATGACTGTCACAGATGCACTAATGTGTTCATCACAGCTGGTAAATGTGGAGCAAAACTTAATAACATGATGATATACTGCTGCTGGATAACATATCATAGTTTATTTATATTTTGTGAGCTGGACGACAGAGTTGTTCACCGTGTGCACAGACGGGGTTAACATCAGTATGGACAACAGAATTGTGCCAACACTCTGCCAACTGGCTGCAGTGGGAGACTCCCCCGCGCACACACTGGAGAACTGCGCAAAATCAGCTGATCTCAACGTTCACGCTCTGTGGTCAAGCTGCTGCAGTTTTATTTACAACAAGCTTACTCAGGGTGTTAATGGAAGAGTTTGAAATCAGACAGACGTGGAAGAAGTACTCAGATCTTGTGTACTGAATACTCTACAGTAAAAGTCCTGCATTCAAAATGCTACTCAAGTAAAATTAGAAAAGGATTATCAAAATATAGTTAAAGTACCAAAAGTAAAAGTGTTGCAGATTGGTCTATTTCAGAATAATATATATGATATGTTTTATAATGATTGATCATGAAAGTGTTCTCAAAGCTGTTAAAGGTACAGCTAGTTTGAATGACTTTGTATACTGCAGGGTAGCTTGTGAATTTACTCCAGGTGGAACTAAAGTCTGATTTAAGACTTGATTATATTTCACATCATTCATCCACATCTGTAAAGTAACTAAAGGTATAGGCTATTATTACATACATGTAGTGGAGTAAAAGTACACAATTCACGGTGGCGGGCGGCTGGTGGAAAATATTTTTGGTGGGGCTGTTGATATAGTGAGTAAAAATTTTTTTTTTGGGAGAAATGACCCCTTAAATTGGGACTTCTGGTGATGTGGCCCCATAAAATCGTGGTTCTAGGGCCAGGAACAACCAGGCTGAGTCGGGCTGAGTATGCTAAACTAGAGAGAGAATCGCTGTCAAGGGGGCTACAACTACAACAAGATGAACATATTTGACCGTGATTTAATTGTAATACACGTTTCAAAAATGATGCCGAAGTAATAACATACTGATACCGGATAGTAAAAACCATGAATTAAGGCTTTGACATGTCTGCAGACAGACGGCAGGCGAAAAACCTTTTAAAATGCGTGTTTTCTAATGGAGATTTGGCTAAGCTAACGTTGTAAATGCTCCGACCGTCCACACTCACAACAACGGCCTATACAGACATAAATAAACCAGCGACTGTATTCGCCATGACACAGACAGTATGTGGTTTGTACTTGTTTAACTTTCGTCTAGTTTCTGAACAGATATGAAGAGCTGTGAGCTCTGAGTGCTAAGAGCTAACAGCTGTGTTGTTTTTCTGGGGAACTCAATGAACGTCACGGCTCCGCCTACACTGCGTTACTACCCCAGTTCCTCACGAGTATAAAAAACAACTCACGTCAAATCACGTAAGCAACGTGTACGCCAACGTGAGCGCCCTCGTGACCAAAATATTTGACGGCGCTGATTTGGCTGAAATTATGTTTCGGCGGCACAGTTTACTATTGAGACTTTTGCAACGTGCTGGTTGCTGCTGTTTGGCTCGGGGGCAGCGCCCCGTAATGATAAACTAATGCCAAGTGCAAGGCCAGGCAGGAAACATGTGACTTATCAGTAACTTTAGACATCGTAACACAATTTTAAACAAGATTTTATTGTAGATTTATACATTTTTACTGATACCAATTGTATGATATTTATCTTGTTCATTAAAAAATAAAAAATATAAAATATATATATTTTTTGAAATATATATTTTTTGAAATATATTTTTTTTAATTTAATATTTTTTGAAATATTTTTTTTTGTTATGTGGGAAGAGGTGGGACGGCGCCCCTAGCGCCCCTATGGGCCAGCTGCCACTATTCACCTCTGAACTGTAGTGGAGTAGAAGTACAAAGTAGCATCAAAGTCAAGTCAAGTACAAATATCTCAAAAGTGTACTTAAGTATAGCCTACAGTACTTGAATAAGTGTACTTAGTAACTTCCAACTTCCCACTATGACTTCGAGTCATGTGATAATTTCTTAGTATTTGAACCTTCAACTTGGCCTCAAGAAAATGCAAGGACTTCACAGTTTTGGCAACAAGTTTGGAGAAAGCAAATCGGAGGCAAAAGAGAC